TATTGATAGTTCTTGCTTGATCCAATCTTTCCCAGGGTTACAAAATAAATTCCTATCAATTTTCCTCTATGGTTTATGCTTTAAGAGGTCTTTTCAAAATGCAGGTATAAAAGGTCAAATTGTGGGAAGTTTATTGCAGCCCTTAAACCTCAGTGGAATTGGGAGTCAAGGGGGGAAAAGGGGCAAACCCAAGCTGTAGCATCAGGTAGTTAGTAGAGGGAAGGAAATAAAAATCAGAGGTCTTGTTTAGTATACTACCACAACTCCAAGATAGTCTGTATTTTCCATTACAGATTTACCTTAACTCTAAAGCAATTGTATTTCTTGTATGTGATATGATAGTTCCATATTTACTTTTCTCTATAAAGTGGTTTTCCCAGCACCATCTATGAAATAATTTCTCCTTTCCCCAATATTCTGAAACAAAGCACTTTTTATCATATATCACATCCGCATAGGTATCTGAGCTCTCCATTCTGATATTTCTGTCTGTTATGGCATCTATTATTACTATGGCTTATGGAGAGAATTGACTTTTTTTTTATCATCATACCATCTATGAACACAGTGTCTATTTGAGCCATGTTTTAAAAATGAGTTTGTGCCCAGCCAGTGTTGCTCAATGGTTGAACCTCAACTTATGAACCAGGAGGTCAGGGTTTGATTACTGGGGTTGCAGGCTTGATCCCCAGTGGAGGGGTGTGCAGGTGGCAGCCGATCAACGATTCTCTCTCATCATTGATGTTTCTGTCTCTCCCTTCCTCTCTGAAATTAATAAAAACACATTTTTTAAAAAACGAGTTTGTGCCCTGGCTGGTGTGGCTCAGTGGGTTGAGCCTTGTTCTGTGCACTGTGTTGCTGGTTCTATTCCCAATTCCCGGTTAGGGCACATGAACAGGTTGTTGGCTAGATCCTTGATGGGGGTGTGTACAGGAGGCAGCTGATTGATGTTTCTCTCTCCCTCTCCCTTCCTCTCTCTAAAATTAATAAAATACATTTAACCACTTACTGTCTGTGTCCATGGGCTATGCATATATGCACATTAAGTTACTAGGTTAATCTCTTCCCATCAACCCCATTCCCTCTGAGATTCGTCAGTCTGTTCCATACTTCTATGTCTCTGGATCTATTTTGTTCATCAGTTTATTTTGTTCATTAGACAGACAATAGTGGTGAACGCCTGGGAGGGGTGGGTGCAGGATAGGGGGGTTCAATGGAGAAAAAAAGGAGGCATCTGTAATACTTTCAACAATAAATTTTAACTTTTAAAAAAAAAAGTTAGCTGGGCCTTTTCCATTAGGTTAACTTCATAGTTGAAGTTATCTTAAAATTTGTATCTAGTTGTTAGTCTAGTGCAGTTCTAAATGTTTTGTCTCAGACCACCTTCACAGCAGGGGTTGGAAGCCTGCCACCTACTTCTGTTATTTTACTGGAATATGACCACACTCACTTGTTTACATGTTGTCCACAGCTGCTTTTATGGTACAATGGCAGAATGGAGTTGTAACAGACATGGCCTACAAAACCTAAAATATTTACTATCTGGTCCTTATTTCAGAAGTTATATGTGTAAGCTACAAACCCTACTTTACACCTAAAATTGAAACTCCCAAGCAACTTTTATATATTAATGGTGGGTGCTAAGTTTTCCAAAAGTCTAGTTTTTACTTGAAAGCACGATTGTAGTATTGGCAACACTGTCAGTTGTCCTTGCAATGACTAGTTTACTTGTGTGCTGTATCTCTGAAATAGGGATGTATCAGAAAATCTAAAAAAATATTTAATAATTTTTAGTTACCAAAAAAAAAAAAAAAGCCAATGCTTTAAAAACATACTTTTAGTGAGCAAATTTGAGAAGAGTGGCATTGTTTCACATATTTGCAAATCTCTTTATGGTCTTAACAGAAGACAGTCATCTATCTGCTTTTGTTTTCAATGTGTTGCAGTATATTATTTTTGTTAAAGCATATGAAAAAAATCTGGCCTCAGAGGTATGTGGTTGGAAGAAAAGTATTTTAATAGCCTTTTCAGATCTGTGTATGTTCTTTGATATTACACCCAATCTTAACAAATGATAATTTCATAAAGGTTACTTGCAATGTAGAACCTAACACTGAATCAATGATCTTTTCATACTATTACAATTAAACCCACTGATCATTTAGAAAATATTGGCTAATCCATGAACTTCCAAATGTCAACACATTTCATTCTACAATATTTAAAAAGTCACATTCATTAATAACATCACTGATCTTTTCAGAAGTCTTCACTGAGGCTGTCAAGCTAGTAGCAGGTACTAGTTTTCTAAGTTCTAATTTTTACTTGAAAGCTCAAATTTTATCACTTCCAACAAATGTTTTCAGTTGTATTCCTTCAAGTGACAGGCTCATTTTATTCACTTGTGAGAAAATGTTTTCCTCAAACCAAGTTTGAAAAACCAGTCAATTCTTTCAAGTAAAAATGGTGTTCCATGAGCAGCAGTGGCTAGTTTGCAATTGAAATAGTCACACACGTTTTTCCTTGAGACAACTGTACTTCCCAGGATGAGCAGAAGTGCTTTATGTAGCACTTCCTATTTTGTCACATGAAATATTAAAAAGATGTGCACTCAAGGGCTGGATTTAATGAGATTGAGTTTTTATTGCTTTGCAGGAACAGCTAGGTAAAAGTCACTTTAAAAAATTGTTTGCTTTTGATAACCTTTATCAAAAATATTCCAATTATTCTTAGATTTCTAATATTTAATATCATAAACTATGTACTGAACTGTATCAAATTTGCAAAAGACCCAACCAATTCTATATCTGACACTCCAGTGGATCAAATCAGCAGTAGGATTTCACTTAGATTCTGTCCCCACTTTCTGATCTGCCATTATATCAAGTTGTGAACTAAAAGCCTGGACTGGAACAGAAAAGACGGGCTTTTTAAGAATGAGCAAGTTAATAAATATCTATTTCACCTATATATCTTTGCATAGTACAAAATAAGGTCCGCTGGATGTGATTTTGAAAAGGTCATTCTGGACAATTGATTTAACATTAGAAAATGTCATCTTCAGCACAGGTGTGTAACCAATTAACTCACCCAGAAAATGCAACCCCATATATGAAGTCTCATTGAATGGATTCATCTAAATCAAAGAACCAGAAGCACAAATAAAAAACAGATAAGTATACATTTCCCTCATATATTACATATCATTTTTTAAAAATAAAAATCTCATAAAAGAATCACAAATAAGTTTTAGTTTAAAATGTCAGTTTGAAAGAATCAATTGCAGTGTTGTAAGTTATTTCATTTTATTTTCTAATTGCAATTACTTTGCATCTGATTTTTTTACGTAATTCCACATGGAAAACAAAATCTCCAAATCAGTCAATACTAATTAGATTTCATGAATCTATAAAAGGATGTAAAAGGACTCATTAAAGACTTAAGAATGAAATATAACCAAAGCTATCACTATTACTATAAACTTTCTCTAAAGAAATATAGAGCAGTTGGTATTTAGCAAAACATCTTCAAGCAATTTGGAGGCTTCCATCTGTTAGTCTTATAATGAATTAAATGAGGATGGTAGCAATTACTTTAAATATGTTTTTATTGATTTTAGAGAGAGGGGAAGAGAGGAATAGTTCATCAATGAGAGAGAAACATTGATCGGCTGCCTCCTGCACAGCCCCTACTTAAGATTGAGCCAGCAGTCCGGGCATATGCCCTGACCAGGAATCCAACGGGTGACCTCTTGGTTCATGGGTCGATGCTCCACCACTGAACCACCCAGGCCAGGTGGTAGCAATTATTTTAAATAGTGTCAACATGAATATACAAATATATATTCTACCTATACATTTCTTTTATTACAGGAACCCAAGACTACAAGTAAAAGAAATGGTAGAGAATGTGAAAGACACACATATTCTATCTCACACAATCCTAGATATTGAATGAAAAGCAGTGGACACGGCTCTACGTTCATTACATGTATGAATCACTAATTCCCAGCAAGTCTGTGACTCTGCAGGTACTGTTCTTGTCACCCCCATCTTACAGGGGAGGAGCCTGAAGCTGAGACAAGCTGAAGGTACCTGTGGTCACCTGCAGGTAAAAGGAAGAGTGGGGTTTGGGACACAGGCTGACTCCAGGGCCCATGCTCTTCACTCTCCCTCACATTGCCTTCTAAGCACATGGCAGCTGGGGAGAAGAGAGGACATAGTCCAATACACTCTCCAAATTCCTTGGAGAGGCTAGTGTCTTATCACACTTATAGTAAGACTTAATTCAGATTGTATACTTTTCTGAATAGGAAGAAAAAAAAAAGCAAGGATAAAAATGATGGTAGTTTTAGGTAGTGTGAAAGTTCATGGGAGTCCAAACAGCATAAATGAAACTTCTCCTTGCAAAGCAGGATAAAAAATCTTAACACCTCATACCGATACAAATCTTTTTCATCTTTATGACAGTCAGGTAACATAAAGAACCTCATTTGCATTCTGATACTTTAACAGTCAAGCCACAGTTAATACTGAATGCTGTTAAATCTGTACATAATACAAATAAAGTATAAATCCACCTAGGTTTCATTTGAAACATGCTTTTACCTAATGGATTACTCAGTTGCTCTTTAGTCAATACAGACAGCAATTTAAAGATGTTATTCAACATCCTATAATTTAATATTTACATATGTGAGACTAAGTTTAACCACAAGTCACAAAGAGTTTTGTAAGCAACTAAATTTATAGCCATGATACCCTAAGATGTGTTGAGTAAACCAATGGCCATTCCTTAATAAAATGCAAGAATTTTCATCATGCATAGTTTGCAGGCTCCTTAAGAGGGGGTTCTCTTTAAGAGGCTGGATGTTCAAGATTCAACAAATAAATCTTGGCAAGTCTTTTATCACACAAACACTTGGTTTGGTTATTTAGCCGCTTTAGTAATACAGCATACTTATACTCTAACTGGAAGTGGAATAAACACTACATGAAAAATGCAAACCTATCAAGTTTGTTAGTAATAACTATTACACCTCTTAACAGTAAGACTATTATCTGGATTTCAAACATTTTATTTTCTTTCAGAGCACAATTTATAGCATTGTATTTTACAAATCAGAGTATAACCAAACAACAACAAAAAACCTTTTCTTAAGGACCACTTCCATTGCTCATTTGAAATATATCGATGAAACGATTCATTTCCACATGAAAAGTTACTAAAATAATTCCGAGTAGTGTTGATATAAGCTACAATTTCAGCCCAACTATTTCAATTATGGGTATTATGATTTCAGATTTTCAAGGATGCAACACTACACTGAGTTGTTACTTCCAAGGCAAGAAAGAAAAAATCACTAGCAAATGCATTTGGGCCATCGTTGTAATTTTTAAAGAATCTTTAAATAAACCATATTTATTTGAGGAGGTAAGTAGAAAAACTTAAGATGTTTGAGATACACCATCCCTACGATGAACTGTATCACAGACACAGAGTTAAAACATTCTTGGTAAAATAACGTGGAAGGATTTATACAGGGGTGGGCAAAGTACTTTACAGTTGCAGGTACATGAAAGTGTGTTCTTGTATTATTTATTTATTGTATTATTTCCCCTATGAAGAACTGTAAACCTACTTTTGCCCACCTCCCATATACCACAAATTTAGCAAAACACCTTTATGTATAAAAGCCTAAATATCTTAGGAGGTTTAGATTACTGAGAAAGACAATCACTATTGATAATTCTTAGAGGCTGGTTTCTTTTAAATATTAAAAACTTGCCCATGAGCTCAGATGCCGTCTAACTAGGTAAGTGTTCAAGAACGCCAAATAAGAAACACGAACTACAAATGTCCATTCAAAATTTCTATTCTTTAACAATGTTTTATAGATCCACAGATTTTGATTCCAGAGTTTGCACACTTATGAGAGATTTGTTTGTTTTTTTTGCAGGGCATGTGAAGGTTTATTCCCCTTTACATTACTTTTCATCACAGCAAAGTTCTCTGGAGACCAGCAGAATAAAAGCATCACATGCTACATGGTGGATCTCTTCTTTTAAAGTTGCACATAAATTCAGTGTGGCTAGTGAGGTCTAACTAGTCCAGCCTTTAATTTCATTTTACTAGAGTTGCCATGAAAAAATGAATGAGAAAGGATGAATCTAAATTCCTAGTAACATACCAAAAAAAAAAAAAAAAAAAAAAATAAAGGACACATAATAAAATATACCCTAAACACAAAGTATATATATAATACACTGTGCAGCATGACATTGTCTTTATTATATTCTCCATGGTAGCTCTTCCATTCAGAAATGGGAGACTATCTTTTCATTAAGCTGTTATTCCTGCCTCTTTTCCCAGCTTAGGGATCATTTGAAAAGGGCTTAATTTGTACAAGTTGTTATGAAATTTTCATTTATACATAAGTAATGTGTATAAGTCATTTAAAATTGTAGCTTACACATATAACTTCTGAAATAAAACAATAATCTTTTAGTTCTGTAAAAACATTCAACATACATGCATATGATCAAAAAAATCTTGGTTGGGGTATTTTGTATGTACAGTGAGTTTAAAAAAAAAATTTACAACCAAATCAGTATTTCCAATGTTAAGATAACTGGGTGCCACCTAGTGTTCAATTTCTGCAACTACTAACCTTACAAATTCAAAATTGCTATTAAAACCCAGGTTCTATTATTTCTGATTTCAAATGCAGATTTCTGCATCCCTTAATTTTGTTCAAAACCTCAAGGATACATGTAGGTAACTGGAATATATAGAAATACACTGTACAGTCAACAGGCTAGTAAAAACTAGGGCTTACTTATAAGTGATAAGTACAGGGCAAATGGTTTATTTAAAGCATCCATTTATTTACTGGAAGTGGTCAAAATAGGAAAGGTTTTTTTCCTCTTTTCAAAAATAGATGTGCTCTCTCTTTTACCCATAAACTCCATTACACCCGAAGAACAAAGTGAGCTTAATATTTCACTTAATTCAACACTACCGGTTTTTAAAGAAACACCTTAGAAACAAATCAGTATGCTTTAACCCAACTGCATTCAAATTAAAGGGATTTTAATCTTCTTTTATAGGCCTCAGCCGAAATCCAAATTGTTGAACAATCCTCAGAGAAGTTGGAATGCAGAATGTTGAGGTTAAGTTAGATCTGAAAGGGAAAAGAATATCAGATCAAATGAAAAACAGATTCTTATATTGCAGCAGCCTACCACGTAAGGGGCACCTTAGGCTATCTGGGAAACAAATCCAATCTTAAGAGGAAATCCTGTATACCATGCTTTTCTCAATTCTGGTCTGCTGCCAGTAAATCTTTACCACCTCATTTAGAATGTTACATGTCATATTGAATATTCTTAATAAAGTGTAGTGTCTCCTTGCTTCTGTGCTAGTGATATTTTATTTTGGGGGTTGGAGCAGAGCATTATTTAAGAAAGGAACAAGTGTGATACTGACCAAATTCTCCTCTTTCTAGTCAACCTGGTTATAAGACTGAATACCTATAAATTATCTAGAGAAATGTCTCGGGGAAGAAGGTTCTCAGGTGATAAACAAAGCCACCCTTACAAATGTTAAAGAGAACAGCAGCCCCCTTAATAACCACTGCTTTATCTTTCCCCTGCCAGCCTGCTGGGCCCAGTCCTGAGGAAGCACTGGCAGAGATTCAGAATTTTTGTTTTTCTTAGACAACCTTTCTCCTGTCTAGATTCTCAACCTATCACCTCTGTATCACCTCTTCCTATTCAGGCATGTTCTCTGGTTAGGTTCTTAATTTCTGAAGAGGCCTTCTACCCTAGCTTAGCTGTCCAAATGTTTGGGTCAACCCCTTAAACTACAACCATGCCAGGTTCTTATCACAGAATATAATCGATAAATCTACTGTCAAGGTACCACTAACAGTTTAGTCACAAGAATCCTCTAGCTCAGGGTCTCCAAAAGGAGTGAAACTAAAAAAAAAAAAAAAAAAAAAAAAAAGATATATTTATTTCTTATCCTTTTTCATTTTTTTTATTTTAGGGTGGGTATGCTTTAATGTTTAAACAAAGCATTAGTACAGTAGTACTATATATTTAAAAATTCATAAATGTGTCTAATGGTTTGATGATGCATCAAATATAAGATGGACTGATTGATGAATAAAGATACATATATACATGATAAATCAAGTACAGGAAAATGTTCATTGTAGAATCTCAGTGATGCCTAACTCAGACATTCCCAAGACCAGTCTTTCTATTTTTGAAAAACTCTGGTAATTCTTTGTACAATCTTGGTCAGAAACAACTGCTCTAGGCATATGAAAATTTCATCTTTAAAGCAAATCAAACATTAGTATTATTTTTAGACTTATATATACACAGGTGGTTTCTGAACTACATTTTTATTTAAAGGGGAATGAAAAGAAGAGCCCAAACCAAATTTGAGTAATCCTATATAATAAAGAGCTAATATGCAAATGGTCATCACACCCTCACGCTGCTCAGACCCTCAACACTGGGGAGAGAGGAATGAGAACCAGCCAGGCACAAATGAGCTCGTGAGAGAGGAACGGGGACCAGCCAGGTTGCGGCCCGGGAGAGGGACAAGCCGCCTGCCCCGCGGTCTCAGGTGTCAGCGCCTGTGGCTACAGCCCAGGTGAAGCTGCCCGCCCACGGTCCCCGGGTGCCTGTGGCCAGCCAGAGGAGGGAATCCTAGGTCCCGGGTGCGGAGCGAGGCAGAGACGGTTAGGGGCGATCAGGCTAGCAGGGGAGCAGTTAGGGGCAATCAGGCAGAGGTGGTTAGGGGCGATCAGGCAGGCAGGCAGAGGGGTTAGGGGCAATCAGGCAGGCGAGCAGTTAGGAGCCAGTGGTCCCGGATTGGAGAGGGTGCAGGCTGGGCTGAGGGACCCCCCCCCCCCCCCCCGTGCACGAATTTTGTGCACCAGGCCTCTAGTTATTAAATAAACTTATATTGCCCCAAATTAAGTTTGACCAGAAGGGTAATGAGGCATTTACTCTTATGAGCATCACTACTTTACTAAAGTTAGGAAAAACAATACATTTTCCTCAAAATAAACATACTAACTCTAAACCAAGAGATTGCCAATAGTGCATATCCAGCAGATAACATCATATGGTGGCAAAAAGCCTTGATTTTAACAAAGCTTTTAATGTATGTTGTAATTTCAATGCTTTTTATCAAGCTGGTTCAAACCAGATACCTTATACCAGTATTTCAATCAAGAGAAGACATGTTTTTGTGGTAAGATACTATATTTCTTACAACTAAAGTTCTTAAGAGAGATCTCTTTAGATATTCTTTTTTTGGGTTTGTTTTATTTATTTTTTAAACTTTTCCCACCTCCACCCAACCCTGCCCCCCTTTCCTCTGGCCATCACCACACTATTGTCTGTGTCTATGGGTTATGCATATATGTTCTTTGGCTAATCCCTCTACCCTCTTTCAGCCAGTCCACCCCTCCTCTCTTTATTGCCAAAGCAAATATTGATCTTTCTAGGAAGAAATGTTGAAAATAGATGACTTCTCAAAGTATAAACAGTTGATTAGTTGTCTACTGAATATTTTAATTCATGTTCAAGTCTCAAAATATACCCTTATTTAAATGTTCAACATTCTTAGATTAAAGGAAGTTGGGGGAAGGAGCTGGTTTCTCTGTGGATAATTCACAAACATTGAAAAATGCAAGGCGCATTTACTTACATCATCAATGTCTTCGTCATCGTCACCAATGTCATCAAACTGGATTTCATCGTCATCTCCAGGACCAAATGTATCAGTTTCATTGATTTTAGCTAAAGAAACAAAAATAAATATACTCATATAACATAACCAAGATGTTATTAAAATGAATAATTGCCCACTGAAAGCGGTTTGATATCAAATGTTGAAATATAAAAGGAGACTCTTACAATTCAAACTTTTAATATAATTAAATCTAAGTTTTATGATCAGAAAGATCCTAACTTTGATTTAACAATGCTATTATACAGAACAGTATTTGATAAAACAAAACCTCCAACAAAGTGACTGGTAAGTCAAGATAGAATGTACTTGTGCTATAATTTTCTTTTGTTTAAAAGGTATTTTTAGTAAGGCAGAATCTAATGACACAAATTCTGAAACTATTACAACTTCCAGCTGTGCTTTAAAAAAGGTTTGAGTACAACCTAATAACTCACTGATCATCAGACTTGTCAATCAGAATCTTTGGTCAAATCATGCTATCCCTAAGCAATGAAAATGAACCAGAAAGTGCTAGCCCTTCCCAGATATATTAGCATTTCCTAGATTTGAAATGCCAAGTAATTCATTTCAGCAGGATTTTCATGGTCTACAGTATTCTATGTTTAAAAATTCATAAATCTGTGATTATTCTAATAACTTGGAGATACATCAAAATATAAGATATAATACAAAATTCTTGTAAAATGCAGGCTTACAAAATAGTATATAAAGTATATTTCCCTTTTGATAAGGTTGTGAGGGACTTATTTTTGTTTTGTTTTCCACATTAAGAACGCATAATTTTTTGTACTGGGGGAGGAAACAAAGAATGTTGGCTTAAAAAATTCTGTGGGATTCTGTGATACTAGGTACGATAAATTGAAGACTGCCTTTTTAATAAAAATCAACAATAGTACCTAATTAACTACCCTTGCTTCACATTTAAAGTTAGACAAACACTAACATTCTCTTTGAGAAATGACTTTTAAAATACTCAACAAAATGTTTCCTTTGGTATTATGCAGAAATCCAGGGTTTATAAAGTATATAACTCCTCAACCAAAGTATACTTATTAGAAACAGAACCTCAGGTATCTAATATTATGAAGTATAGGCAGTCAGACTTAAAACAAATCATGTAAGCACAAAAGTAAGTAAGCAAAATCCACAAAATTCTACCCAAATCCCTTCCCTTGATACGACCAGGTAATAGCACCATGACAGGTTAATATAGTAACTGAGACATTACCATGCTCCGGAAGCTCGCCATATGCCTTCAGACTTCTCGCTTCATCAGCATTGTATTTTAAAATTACATCAGCTTTATTATCCTTGAAAAGAGAAAAATAACAGATTATGGCAAAATATTAAGTTTTCTCCTACCCTCTGAAAAACATCTTCGGGTTTAACCCAGTATGAAGCTGGCATGCATAAATGAATAATGATCAACAGGCTTAGGGAAGATCTTCGCAGATCTCACTTTAATAAGAGCAGAACTGTGCAGACCTAATCTTGTGGATTATTTACTATTACCCTCTGATTAGAAGTCTTTTGAAATACAAAAATTCCCTGGAACCATAATTTACAGGGTTATTAAACATTAAATACTGCAATTCAAAAATCGAGAGTGGTATAATGACCCAAGGAAATGAATACACTTTCCATGTACCAGTGGTTCTCAGGGTAGAATTGATCAGGATCTCCTGTGGGGCTTTTACACCTCCTGAAGATAGATTAGTTGATGTGGAGGGAAGCCATGAATTTACTTATACATCTTACATAAACTGTAATGTGTGTAAAGAAGCCCAGGGGGAATCTTGTTAGAATGCATATCCTGATTTAGGAGGCTTGGGGTAGGGGTCCAAGGATCTGCATTTCGAACAAGTTCCCAAAAGCTAGCGATGCTTCTGGTCCCTGGACCACCCTTTAAGTGGCAGGGGCAGAGAAGGATCATGGGAAATTAAGAATCAGAAAAGTTGGTCTTGGCTGTTATTTTCTAGTCAGAATGTTGTATCTTTTGGCACCTTGGTTTCCTATCTTCACACAGGAAACTATTATCCCTACTTCTGGGGTTATTTTTGAGATCAAAAGAAGAGAACGGACATTAAAATGGTATGAATTTAAAGCAGGCTTTCTTAACCTCAGCACTACTGATATTTTTGGCTACTGATATCTTTGTTGCAGGGCCTGTCCTGTGCATTGTAGGATGTTTCGCAGCATCTCTGGCCTCTACCCACTAGATGCCAGCAGCACTGTCCCCCTCCCCCAGGTGTGACAACCAGAAATGTCTCCAGACACTGCCAAATGGCCCCTGGACATAAAAAAAAAAAAAAAAAATCACCCATGATTGAGAACCATTGATTTAAAGCAACAACTGTAATTCTTTATTCTGGAATATAGACATATATTTTTAAAAATAAAAACATTTTATCACTCACGAGATTTAATACACAGTGGTAAGTTCCAGCAGGTAGAACCAAATAGATTTCACAGACCCACAATGTCTCCAGGTTGAGTTCATGAGGGCAAACTATAATTTTCTTACCTAAGTGCTGATCTAAATTTAGAGTAAAAACTTATATCATGGTTTATACTGTAATTAACTGTGTGCCTTTCTTATTCCCCTCATTACCAGGGTGTTCACATCTTGTGGGATGGCAGCATGAATCATTCAGCTGTAGCCCCATGAGTAACTCTTTCCAGATTTTGAATTCAAGACGTATAGTTTAAAAAAAAACTGGGGCGGGGCCCTGGCCGTGTGGCTCAGTGGTAGAGTGTTGGCCTGCACACCGAAGGGTCTCGGGTTCAATTCCTGGTCAAGTGCACGTACCTGGGTTGCAGGTTGATTCCCCGGTTCCTGGGGTACATGGAGAAGTAACCAACCGATGTGTCTCTCTCACATTGATGTTTCTCTCTCTCTCTTTTTCCCCTACCTCCCTTTCACTCACTCTAAAAATTAGTGGGAGCCAAAACCGGTTTGGCTCAGTGGATAGAGCGTCGGCCTGCGGACTGAAGGGTCCCAGGTTCGATTCCAGTCAGGGGCATGTACCTGGGTTGCGGGCACATCCCCGGTGGGGGATGTGCAGGAGGCAGCTGATCGATGTTTCTCTCTCATCGATGTTTCTAACTATCTCTCTCTCTCCCTTCCTCTCTGTAAAAAGTCAATAAAATATATTTAAAAAATAAAATAAAAAAATAAAAATTAGTGGGAAACAATACCCTCGGGTGAGGATTAACAACAAAAAAGGTGGGAGGACCAACATAAGATTACATTTTTATTTTGCCAACTAAGAACACTAACAAAACTACTATTCACTATCTCATTCCAAAAAGGAAACTTTTTTTTTGTTAATCCTCACGTGTGGATACATTTTTCCATTGATTTTTAGAGAGTGGAAGGGAGGTAGGATAAGAGAGAGAGAAACATCAATGTGAGAGAGATACATCAATTGACTGTCTCCTGCATGCACATTGATCAGGGCTGGAAATTGTACCTACAGCCCAGGTACATGCCCTTGACTTGGAATCAAACGTGCGACCCTTCGGTCCATAGGCCAACATTCTAACTACTTAGAAACACCGGCCTGGGTTAAAAAGGAAAAATTTTAAATATCCGAAAAGGAAAAAGGACCACTTAGCTTCATGAAAAATTTACATGGCCTGCATTTCTTCTACAGTGAAAATACGAACTCCACAGACTGGCATTTGGGAACCATAATCTCGGGGTTACCTAGCACAATGCCTTATGAAATGTTTGCTGATACAATGGTGAGGCACATACTGGGCTAGAACTGCTCAAATACGGTTATGACTTATGTTCCTAACACTAATGGATCATCAAAATCTGGCAAGTGCATAAAAATGTTATTTTATTTTTTTTACCTGGTAATCTCGTAGACCAACTAATATTATGTCTGAGGTATTTATCCAAACCTATAAAAGAAATAAAAATAAAGAATCAAGAGCAACACTGAATCAGCATTCCCATAAAATGCTATTCACCCAACTGTGATTTAAGTAACTACATTTAGAAACAGGAAAAAACAAAAACAAACTATAGCAAGCAGTTGTGCCTGTTTCAACTTTCCTGTAATTTGGAATATTAAAAAAATACTCTTATTTAACTACCTGGCAGTTTACTAATTCTAGAGGAATGATAAATTTAAAAAGGGATTCCCCCCATGAAGTATTCTAAGTGGTTAGTTATCTATCCTTTACATGTAAGAATAAAAAATTAGATATGTTGCTTCATCTGCCTCCCTCCCTTCCTTCCACTTCCCCACCCCAACTTTTTAGTTTGTTAACTGAAGGATTAAAAAACAAAATTTGAAAAATAATCATAAAATCAGAGTTGGAGGAACTTTTAACTAATTTAACTAATAAATCTGCCCGAACACCGAATGTGATAGGACATTAGCCTTTCCCAAATTAGATCACAATTCAGGAAATTTAACATTAATGTAACACTTAATAGCACTCCAGCCTTTTTTTTCCTGATTTATTTTGCAGAGAGTCCCTCAATTTGGATTTGTCGATCATTTCCTCTTAGGTTCAGGTTAAACATTTTTGGCAGGAATACAACATAGGTGATGCAAATTGAGTCTTTAAATAGAATCTGCAAATCACAGTTCTACTGAACTCTTTTGGTAACTTATAAAAACGAGGTCCTTGGCCCATAAAAACTGTAGAGACATTTGCACCCCTCCCCTTAACCACAATTTTGTATTAACTAAAACAAATATCCACACCTACCTTTTTCCTCAATTTCCCCCTGATGTGACACAATCTCTTTACACCATCAAAACACATTGCTTCTAAGCGCCCGTTTCCCAACATTTTGATTACCTGAGCATATTCTGGGGGAGGGAAAAGAAAAGGGCATAAGATATTGTTCAACTTTTGATAAAAACAATTTGGAAGTCCACATAAAAGTGACTAGAACATATAGGTGGTACTAGCTGGGAATAAATACATGCAGTAAAGTAAATGAAAAGGAGTGACAAACCCCAAGCTAGTTAATGGTAGAGCCACAACCAAGACTCATCTCTTCTATCAGAAATGTTTTTTCATGACTGTTTGCTTTACTTTTGGAGAGCAAGGTGGCTTATCCCAAAATGTACACACTATACCTCCTCAATCTCTTGAAGCCTTTGCCAATTTTGAAGCTCCTTTCCCTTCTAACCTTTAGAGCAGTGGTTCTCAACCTTCCTAATGCCGCGACCCTTTAATACAGTTCCTTACGTTGTGGTGACCCCCAATTTAATTGTTATAAATTGAACATAATTAAAGCATAGTGATTAATCACAAAAACAATATGTAATTATATATGTGTTTTCCGATGGTCTTAGGCGACCCCTGTGAAAGGGTCATTTGACCCCCAAAGGGGTCGAGACCCACAGGTTGAGAACCGCTGCTTTAGAGGATAATCTCAACACACTTGGTAGATTTGGCAAATAAACGTAGCTTAAATGTTAATTAAGCTACTTTTGTTAAATTAGAATGTCTTAGTAATTATTCTGAAGTTTTTGTAAAGCCAGAAAGATGTTCTTAGGCAAAATGCCAAGTTTTTAATGAAAATCTTTTCAAAAGGGTACCCAGGAAGCCAACTGGTTTCAATGCCATTTGAAAAACTGAGATTCTGAGCATTAGCTTGTACATCGGCCTGTCTCTTTTATCAGTAAATGACAGAAGACACAGGGGGAGAGGGGCCATCACTTCAGAACCTTTACTTACTCAAGCAGTACATTAAACTAACCGCCAAAGAGGATACCTACTAATTGGTAAATACAGTGATGTAACTTTGAAAAATTGATTGTGGGGTTGACAAGTGGAAGTTACCCAGACTACATACAGTGAACCTAGCACTTCAACATGGTGGTCAAAGACAGCTTTTCGCCAAGACAGTGTGGTTTAGTGGTTGAGCATCAACCTATGAACCAGGAGGTCATGATTCGATTCCTGGTCAGGGCATATACCCGGGTTGTGGGCTCGATCCAAAGTATGGGGCATGCAGGAGGCAGCCAGATAATGATTCTCTATCATTGGTGTTTCTATCTTTCTCTCCCTCCCTGAAATCAATAAAAAATTAAAAATAAATAAGT